CTCACTTGAAAATGTTGTGGCATTTTACACATACGATGTCATCATAAGTCGTGAACGTTTCTGGCAACGGTGTTCCGTTAATGACAGGAACATGTCAGGAGTAAATGATAGTTTTTCGATCTTCTCCTGGAACATGTTATTTTGTCGTGAACGTACGTACTCTCTATGTAATCGTGCGTACGTGGGTTCGTCGTGGTAGCGGTAGCGGTAGTGGTAGTGGTAGCGGTCGCTGCTAGAAATGCTTCAACCATTCCGGGGGTGAGATTGAAGGTAAGTCTGTCGTAAATGCCACCTGTGGCTTGTACTGTTCGTAGTGTGCTCTGTAGGCCTGCTAGTATCTTGTTAACACTGCTTGCTTCTCTCTCTCAACCCTTGCAAGAAGTATCTACCCCATAACAACTTACTCTCAGGAACAGTAGAAATATGGAGGGAAGGTGGAGACTGCTGTGAGACAGAGAGAGAGTGATGCAGACAGTTTTTTCTCGCTCGTTAGTGCACGCGACCATTTCGCAGTGGTCCTTCCATCTGTTATGTAGCTGTAACAGTAGGCTTGCCAATAGATGGCAGCACCGTCCACCTTCCCTCCTAATATTTCGCTGCACTCCATACGTCTCTGCATTTTTTATGTCTGCGTTTTTTACCTCTGCGCTTTGTTAACTATTCCTGCATGCGTGTGGCTTTGGCGTAACCCACCGCGCTCTTGCGCTCTCCTCGGTCTCGCGACCGATGATTCGTCTGCTAAGTAAGTAATCGGGGGGGGGGAGGGCTTAATCCCGTCGCCGTACGTGTTCACGTTTCGATATCTGATCGTCTGATAACTAGTTCAAATAATCGTTTTACTAGATGAGATTGAAAAGTTGTAATTTCTTATAAATATGTGTATGTTGTATATATATATATATATATATATGTGTGTGTATATGTATGTTATATATAATAAACGTAAATATGGTAAATAACGTGAAAACCATGTCGTGCAAAAGTATGATTTATGTCAAAACTAAGGAAGCTACGTGGTTTGTAATACTACCGGAAGATAATATCAAGACCAGTGAACAAAAGAAGCTCATGTTTGTATACATTTGTATTTTTATTCACATCGAACTCGTACGACAAAACTTAGTGAAATCAGTACCAAATACGAGTCGAACTCCTTTGTCATTATTAACTCCTGATATATCTATATATCTATAGACACATACACACACCTTGTAAAATCTAGCCAGTAATGTGACGCATGCACATGGTAACGTCGGCGAGTGATGTAGGTGGCGCCGGCGACTCATGCGTAACTTTGCTCGCCGTGTTTCAGGACACTCCCGGCTTCATCGTCAATCGTCTTCTCATGCCCTACCTAGGAGAGGCCGTCCGCATGCTCGAGCGCGGTGAGTGGCGCCCTCTGGGTTCGCGTGAGGCTGGGGTCGACCGTCGCTTACCGATCGCGGTCGACCTTTGACCCTCTGTGTTAAATATCAAGGTCGCTCGCTCGCGACCCTTTGACAAGTTTGACGTCCTATTTTTTCCCTTTCGCATCCTGTTCTTCCTCCTCTTCCCTATTCTTCCCTCTTCCTCCTGTTCTTCTTCCTCCTCCCTATTCTTCCCTCTTCATCCTCTTCCTCCTCCTTTTCCTCCTCTTCCTTTTTCCTCTGCCTCCTTCTTCCTCCTCCTCTTTCCTCCCCCACCTCACTCTTTCGTTATCTCGTTCCTCACATGTTTTTTGTTCGCTTACGTTGCAATCGTGACGCTGTTGTGTCTGTTGTTCTCTGCCGCCACCAGGTGACGCCACTGCTAAGGAGATTGACCAGGCGATGGAGATGGGGACCGGTTACCCGATGGGACCGTTCAAACTAGCCGACTACATCGGCCTCGACATCGTCAAGTTGATCTTGGACGGTGAGTGGCTCCCCCTATCGGATCGCAGTTGCGGCATGGTCGCCGTGGCGATGTTGCGACGTCGGTAATCGTTCCCCTGGCATTGTGATCGGCAACTTTGGAACAGGCCCACTTCGTTTTTGTTGATTTCAAATGTGGGTTTAATAATAGACCATGGCTACGCGTTCGGTTACCGGACGCCCTGCTCCCAGGCTACGCGTCCAGTCATATATTTCTTATGTGAACCCAACTATATTTTTTCAGTAAAAAACAAACAATAAGTTTTTACCATAATATTACTTACCTTTAGGCATTTTATAAAAAAAAAATAGTTTTTGTAACTTTTGAAGCAATAGTAAATCCAGTAAAAATTAATGATTTGAAAGAGGATGTGGCGTGGGAATCGTGACGTGGATTTGGGAATCTGTGCTGAGCTTTGTAATGGATGACCGGACACTGCGTTAATAATTTCATCGTGGTAAAGATGAAATTCTTCGAAAATCAGCCGGGGCTTTCGGACTTATTAATTGTGATCGGTTATTTGCTCGACGATTAGCGAGTAATTAGTTAATTAATTAACGAACCGCTCGTGTCGCGTTGTCTCTTCGGCAGGCTGGCACAAGCGCTTCCCGGAGAACCGGATCTTCCAGCCAATCACGGTGCTCGACAAGCTCGTCAGCACGGGCAAGCTCGGACGCAAGACGGGAGAGGGCTTCTACAAGTACTAGACAAGTGAACGGCTCTTGCGTTGTCGCCACGACAACGACGGAGAGGTCGCGCATTTTTTTTTGACGGGTTTGCGTGTCGCGCGGCGGGGGATGCGCTTTTGTTTCTGTCCCCGGACGCGTGCGGGCGCGGTGACGTTGCTGTCACGGAGCGGCATCACTGTGTTTGTTTATTTTTGATACAGTCTACCGGTGTCTTTGGAAGTATTAATCTAAGTGCCTTACTAAAACATATAGATATAGATATATATATACACACGTAATAACATAATATCATGAAGCGGGTCAGGCAAAATAAACGTCAATTTAGAATATGTATATATATATATATATATAGATCGTTTTTATATATTATATATATATATATATATATATATATCTATATATATATAGGTGAATGTAGATATAACACGGCTGTAGGGTAGGGTAGTGTAGTCTTTGTGTACCCTGAATCCACGTGGTGGTCTGTGACTTACAGGATAATGGAAAGTAATGGATAATGTATGTATGTAAGCAATGGATATTGTAGAAACTCCATGTTCTGTGGCTTCATCTGTGCAATATATACCTCGCGAATAATCTGTATTTTTCGTTCGCACAGGTGGCGCCTGTGTACTAACGAGCGTTTGCGTGATTGCCGGCGCGCGACTCTCCGCCGCTGCCGGCTCGTGTTTAGTTTCGCGCTAGCCGCGACTGTTTGCGCGAGCGAGCGACTGGTTTGTGTGAGGAGAAATAAAAAATGTCTGGCGCAAGCCGAAGGTATTTCGTCTTACCCTCGTTTTACACTGTTGTTGTCGTCGTTTCTCTCTTACACCTCGCCTTCGCCACGTCCCTGGGAGTCTGGGGAAGACAGACGAGATACGAGAGTTGGGGGGAAAAATCCTGTCCTGCATCCTGCGGCAAGCGTTGGAGAAGCACCGTAAGCCACCAGCCCAGCCGGTGCTAGCACTAGTGCAAGGACGAACACACGTAGTGGGGCTGAGAGGGTCTATGTCCCCCAGGGTACTATCGGAGGGTACCCTGGGTACGGTTCGATATATCGGAACGTACCCTGGTACTATCTAATATGCCGGACCGTACCTCGCCTACTCCACTAACGAGTCTAGGGAGTCACCTACGCCTACTCCCTAACCCTAACCCTAACTCTAACCCTAACTCTAACCATATCAGATAGTTACCAGGGTACGTTCCGATATATCGAACCGTACCCAAGGTACCCTCCGATAGTACCCTGGGGGACATAGACCTTATGAGCCGTAGTGGGGATGCGTCGGGGGGGGGGGGTCCGAGACTATAATAATTAACTAATTGAAATTAATTGTAACTGATTGCTTTCCGGATTCCTGCGTCAACTGTTGCGATGGGATTCTGTTACGAGAAGTGCGAGGGTCTTATGTAAACACGCGTCCGCACATCTTAATTATTAATTAATTGGGTTAATGTGTGCCGAAACATATCCCTGCCCCTCACCACACTCACCCTATCTCCACCATCCACACTTCCCTCCCTGCAGTTGTAATGTAGGGACGTTGCATATTGCACCTAAACCTTGCAGAGGTATGTGGCGAACGATTCCCCAAATTCCTTTATAATTCTACAATTAATGATGAATTCGGTCGACGTGAAAGTTTCTTCGAAATTTGTCCGTCTTTGTTTGTGTGTGTTTGTACATGTGTGTGAATCTGTGAGTGTGTGCACGCAGGAGAAGAATGATGCTAGAAGGTGGGACAAGGTGGGAGTGGAACTGATGTAAGCCGATTACATTACAGTATTATTATTATTATTATTATTATTATTAAATTATGATAATAATGTATTATTACTATACATTATAATATATAGTAATATATGTTAGTAACGTATGTCCACGTTCGATGGAAGCAGGAGAAACTGACGGAAGAAGAGAGGTGCAGACATGTAACTGCAGAGAAATCCCTCTCTTCCATACCCGCAGATAGATGGGCGCGCGACTGCTGAGCCCACCCTTAGCCCACCCTGAGCCTAGCCTAGTGCTTAGCCTAGCCCATCCTTAGCTAGCCCGGTGAATGGTTCCCACCCAATGGTAAGTGAAACTATTTTGGTGTGATTGAAACCGAATTTGAGTGAGTTATTTACTTACGTTTTTACAGTGGTTTGTTACAAAATTTTACATGGGAATCCATCTTTAACAAAAACGTAAGGAAATTTAGTCATGGGTGAATGAAATGTTGCGATAAAGACTCCAGGGTGAATGACACCGAAATAGTTTAAGGAGCACTGGTTAGCCGATCCTCTCTTACCCCGCTATAGTAACACGGGTGGGGGGGGGGTCGGCGTCTGTCTCGCACGCGGCGAACGTAGTCTGAAGGTCGTTTCAAGAACGTCTGTTGACAATCGCTTCCTTCTATTGTTGATTTTTGTCAGGTCATCAAGACGGATGACACCACGGAGGGCACGTTCAACGCTCTGATGAAGTTCGGAACCAACCTGGGCAAGCACTGCGTCACCTGCAAGGTGAGTGTCAAGGTCGTGTCTCCCCATGTGACCTTTGAATTTTGCCAAAGTCAAACTCGCGTCTCTCCGTTTGACCTTTGTTTGACATTTGACAATGTCGGGATGTCTTACTGTGTGAACTCTGACCTTCGGCAATGTCAATGTCACTCCTCACGCGACTGTTGATGTGGTCGTCGTCGCTCGATTAAATTGTTATTGTTCGCTTTTAATTGATTGTTGTAATTGTTGCTTAATTGCTGCGAACAAGTGTCGGCAGGCTTAGCGTTGGCTATCGCTGGTCACCGTGGCAACGTGCGAGAGACACGACGGCGGCTGAGGTTTCGCCACAGTAGCGAATGCTGGGAGTGCGATCGGCGAGATTTAACCGTGCGCAAAATTACGTTCGACTAACGAACTGTCGTCAAATTGCATTTTGATCTCGCTCAATCAAGGTTTAAGTGTGCGCATTACTATGCAGATGTGGAATTGAAGTGTAATTTGAGAGGTTATTATTAATGCATGTAGTACATGTAGAAAGACATACACACTCGTGTGTGTGTGTGTGTGTGCGTGCGTGCGTGCGTGCGTGTGGGTGCGTGCGTGTGTGTGCATGCGTGTGTGTGTGTGCGTCTGCGTGTAGGGTGTCCAAAATCTGTGCTTTGGTGCTGGTGTGTGTGTTGCGTTTATGTGTGCATGTACGCGTGTACATGTACGTATGTGCGTGAATGTACATGTACATATGTGCATGTGTGCATGTATGCGTGTACAGGTACATATGTGTATGTATGCGTGTACATGTACATATGTGCATATATATATATATATGCGTGTACATGTCAGTGTTGTAGGTCTCGAGACCGGTCTTGGTCTCGAGACCGGTCTCGAGACCGTTTTCCTTGGTCTCGGTCTCGGTCTCGGCCTCGGAGTG